TCGTCTCTAAAACATTTTGCGATGTCCTCTCCTTTTATGAGTACATGTCTGAACTGAACACGGGAATTGAAAAAAATAAAGAACAAGCAAAGATATTTAGTCGGCATGTGACTACAAAAGCAAAAGGAGGCATCGCTTTTTGAGCATGTCTCACGAATTCCTCCATTCCTCACTTAACGAGGCCACTCATTCATTTTAAGAACTCCCAGTGTTGCCATTTTTCACTCGTCTAATTTCTCAACTCGCACGCCAATTAGCCTTGAGTAAGGTTTTCTACTAGATTCCCGCAGTACGATTATAGTCCAAAGGCTTTCTCGCCCAGTGGAGGGAAATGAGCACCCTGAACCATCCAGCCTTTAGACTTCATTTCAGAGCCTCTACTTTGTCATTTTGATCTCGTACGGTTGTTAGCGGCAACCTTTTCTTTCCAATTAATTGCGAAATTTAGTTCAACAATCTCACTTATTTACCAAGAGATGGTGATGGCACAACACCTTGCAAACTGAATTAAAATTAAACAAAATCATTAATGAGTGTCGAGCAGGGATGCCGTGGAACTCCTTTTTACAAGGACCTGCTTAACTTCAGATTTTAACCTATTTGGCGGAGGTTTACGGGTATACTTCCTCTACAAGCGGGTCGCTGCAACGGTGAGCTCTTCATGATCAAGATCGTGAGATCGGCTCAACATTTAGCAGATTTCGTTTGAAGATGAGTTTTTAGCGGCTACATGATGAGCATAATCGGGAACATTTAGTAAACCATTCGGGTCGCACCATCGTCATTATCGTTGGCGTGGCGTCTAGAGTCAAAGTGATAGACGACTGAGAGTTTTGTGAACTTTAAATTGGGCTTGGATCACCTCATAGAAAATTCAGTGAGACCTTCTGTAACCCCCAAGACTTCCTACCAGGTAAAAGGAGGCATCACATTGGGCAAAATGAACGAGTTCTAAGAGAAGAAAGGAGAGCGCATTAGCACAACCCGAATGCCAGGCGTCAGGTGGTCGTATAAATAAAATATTACGGCTACTTTATGTATTTCTGTTGACAGTCGATTTGTCAATTGACCCTAAAGTCAGGTTATGTGTTCGGGAGAGCATAATCAAATGTGTTAGTCGGAAAATAGTAGAGTTTACCATTCCCAAGAAAACTTTGCGTTTCTGAACGATAATGGAATTGAGATTGTAGCCTTAGTAGTAAAGTCTTGAGTACCGACGATTCCTAATTAATGAAAGCTTCATTTTCGGTGTTTCAAAGAAACCCACATCGTGATGTAAAACAGCGTAATGTTTGCAAAAGACGTTCTCAAGCAACGCAAACGGCGCACGCTTTGCACATAATACAACCATATGCCTAGTTGTAAAAGCATTAAGTGCCTCATCAGCAACAATTCGATACTTCGTCATTGGTAGAAGACAGAAAGTAGGGTTAATAAACTGACTAAAGATCAGAAAACACAAATATGAGCAAGAGGAGGAGACCTACCATGAATTCCTATTTTCACGCAAGTAGAGAGAAGGGTTCGATGACGGATGTGTCTGCAATGAGGAGTGACGCAAAATCAACTGCAGCCCACTTCCCCACCTCATCTAAGACCCCACCTCGCACCACCAACACTCCAGCCCAACACGAGCGAACATACGACAATTTGTGGGCGGGCTCTGCGCACACCACTGACTGCTCACCGGAGGCGAAACACCACTGACATCTGCTAGCACGGTGCATCGTGGTGCAAATGGTTGATGACATGGAAGGACTTTGTAGTCCATGCTATGGCACCTGTGGATGGGAGGGTTTGCTGTCCGCCTTCTCGACGGAAATGGAGGTGGGTAGGAGGTTGATGCAGGAGGTGAGTGCATGGGACGTGAGTGGATGCATGGAATGAGGGCAGGACATGGAGGGGGGGGGATGAGGAAGGGGTGGGGGAGGAGTAATGTAGTGGTAGGTGAGAGGGGCAGGCAATGCGGCGAGGTTGAGTGACTGCAGACGACGCAGGAGGAATGAGGTGTAGGGATTGATGTACACCCAGGTGGTTGCGCTCGGCGTCACGAGGGAGAGCCGTGGGAGGAGTGGTGCATTGGCGAAGGAGTGAAGTGAGGTGATTGGATGGTGTGCAGGAGGTGGATGTGTCACAGTGGGCAGCAAGGTTTGTGGAGTGCTTTTGGAATGAGGAGAGGGTAGGAGTGTGTTAGGTGGGTAGGGGATGGAGAAAGGGAGGATGGAGAACATAGTGCGAGCGTGCAGTCACGAGGTGGTGATGGGAGGAGGGAGGGAGGGAGGGAGGGAGGGAGAGTCGACAACCGTGCTGGCTTTCGTCAATGTGGCGCCGCCTCAGACCCTGCACGAAAAGCAAAGCTAAGGCATCGTCGACCTCCTGCAACCAACCAACTGCAATGTCGGTGCCAAATGAAGTGGGAGGGGTGGGTGAGGAAGAGTCCAATTCTCTCAAAGTGGTCACTCTGTCGACACCCCCAATGGGTGGCTAGATGTGCAACCCTCAGCCACCAAATCGGTGTATCTCTATCAGCAGTCATGTGGTAGGAAGGGAAGAAGAGGAACACGTTGTTTGGGGGAGGGGGAGCGTTGGGGGGGAGTGGGCAGGAGTGAGGTGGTGCAAACGTGTGATTTGTAAGCACGTCGCGATGCCAGTAGGCGTGGACAGAGAGCTGAGGTGTGGTGGGTGGTAAAGCACTTAACTGAAATGAGCACACATGAGGAAGAAGTGGGTGGAGGAGAGGCGGGAGCCTGCAGTGATAGTTGTTGGTTGGGATGGTGGAGTGAGGTGGTTGGAATTGAGTGTTGATTGTGGTGCAGTGAAGTCAACGTGTGGAGGGGGTGGGAGGGGAAGACCACAGAAATAGGGGGTGAGTGAAGAAGGCATTCAGAACGACTAATGGTATTGTGTGTGTGTGTGTGTGTGAGTGAATGAATGACTATGTCGCAGTGATGGTGAGCTGATTAGCGGAGTAGTAGCAATGGGCACACGTGCACGTGGTATTGCACCAAGTCTGTCGTGGAGGTGAGAAGGGCATTTGCGTTTGAGGTGCGGTCGGTTGATGGTGTTGAGGTTGCTGTGCGGATTGGTGGCAAGTGATCGATGTGAGGCGAGTAGAGGCCACCTCGACTGGACCACGATGCAGTCGACCGCCATGACGACCGTGTTCTGCCGCA